TGTGTGTGTGTGTGTGTGTGTGTGTGTGTGGGGGGGGGGGGGGTACCTGTGCACCTGCTTCTTTTACATGGACGATTGGAAGTGTCTCCCATCTGAATCATTTTGTGATTTGTGATTGTATGAAGGGAAACCCCTAATCCACCCCAGCGGAAACGTACCCTGCTCCACACTGTGTGTGTGTGTGTGTGTGTGTGTGTATATATATATATATATAAGCATAGAATAACAATCTTTTCAGCAGAAAACTGTATGATGTGGACTAGATAGATGATAGATAGATAGATAGATAGATAGATAGATAGATGATAGATAGATAGATAGATAGATAGATAGATAGATAGATAGATAGATAGATAGATAGATAGATAGGACTATCAAGGTGAATGGAATCCTAGCTTGTAAAAAGACAGGATGTAGCCTATTATGATCTTACTCTTGTCACATTTTTCTAATGAACCACTTTTTGTACCACTTTCCATTTCTGTGTCACACATCTTGCCACCTGTTACCAGCAGTACATATGTACAGTCATGTTTTTGTTCACAGTCAAAGAACAGTGACGCAAGTGTACAGAGACCCAGAAATGTTAATTTTGAATTACAGCTGGATTACATATTTACTAGAGTAACAAATCAAAGACCGCAAGAAAGAGCCACATAATATGATGCGGCAGCTAGTACATGATAGGTAGAATGTATTTCAGCAAATGTGTCAACAAGATAATCTGGCAAAGATACGTCTTATCATGATCTGTGGTTCTTTTGTATTATTAAAACTAACATGCCACGACTGTGAAAACTGCTATTTCCAAGGAACATTTCTTACTCTAGAAACTAAGAGAGAAGGCCACTCGTATAATAAACGCACGGAAACACATGCCTACAAAACATCAGTCTGCGAAGTGACTATAAAATTCATCTAGCACAGCAACACATGTCCATAGAAAACTATAATAAGTTCTTGCGGTATTTTCCTCCCGGCCGGGGGTTTCTATAGAAACGCCCGTGTTGGTTGCTTATGTGACGGTTCCTGCTTTGCCACATCGGGCCAATGAGCTGCAGGAGCCGGGTGTCTGGTTACTCCCAGCCAGCTCCCGCTAGCGTAGCCAAGGAGGAGCGGAGCCGAGCCGAGAGGAGAGGAGAGGAGTGAGTAAAGCCTCTCGGCAGTAATGGTTACTGTACTGCGCCGAGAATTACGGGCAAACGGACGACGTTTAAAGGCGTAGAGCTGCCCGACGCTTAAGGATGTTATAAGGCGGATACATTAAGGTAAAGGAGCCCCGCGTTTCTGTTCGGGAAGCCCGCGCAGATACCCTGGTTATCGAGGGGATACTTTGTTTTAAACCTGTTGCCTGTTACACAACCCCGCTCTTTGCATTTCATAGATGTTTCACTGGGACAGTGATGCTGAAAAGGGGCTGGTTTCGGTCGCGTTTGCTTTAAGTTGGCTCCCTAACCCGCTTCAGGTGGTCTTTTAAATGTAGGTTAAGTTCAGGTAAATTTGGTTTCTTCTTACATATCGCGGTAATGTCGATAGGAGTTGGGTAATCCTGCCTTTATCTGAAGTTTGGCGAACTAGCTAGCCCCTTTTCGCTTTATAGTCGACGGAAACGGGATAATTGCTGTTTACTGCGAGCAAGTAAATATTGCGCTGCTTTGCTTGTAATGTTTAGAGAAAGAGCAACTATTTTGTCTTTTTGTTTAGAAGCGACTGGATATTTTAAGCTGTTTAATGCTGGAATATTTGGCTATAATGACTTAATACAAGACGGCAAAAAACTCCAGAGTTGCCAAATGGTTACTGAAGTCAAATGAGTGTTGCAACCGTTTAGTAAGCAGGAATCTCAAGTCAGGGGAGGAAAATATGCAGCCGAACGAGATTCCGCACTAAAATGCGTCCAAAGAAATTCGCTTTAGTCGATTTATATATACGTCAGTCATAGTAATAATTTCAGGCTGTTCACTTAAGTTATATGGGGGATTTATTCACGACGCAACAGATTTAAAAATATTGCCAGAGTGGATGCGCTGGTGGTTACAGTTTAAAACGAATCCAATCGCCAGCGCGGTTTTAGTGGTGACGTTTCCTTTGCAAATGAAATCTGCAACTTTAATTGAATTACCGGGATAATTAAAGAGGGTCTGGCAGAGTGCTTAAACCAGCGACATAGCTGACTTTGCTGAAAAGGGCTTTTTTTTCCATCTGACAAAAAGCACCACGTGACATCTTAAGCTGGGCTAGTTTGCGAATTTGGCATTTGAATTGGCTGAGCTGGGGGGGGGAGCATGGAGTTCCAGGACGGGGCTAGGGAGACGCTTTCCTAACTCATACCGCACGATCATATTATCATGTAATGTAAATATCTGTAGTTTTCATTTTCTATGCACGTAACACAGACCATGTTTTTCTTAAACTCACAGGTGCCATTCGATTTCTGACGTAACCAGAGGAACGGATAGTAAGCAAAGTCAGTGCGAAACTATATTTCCCCGGGGTTTCGAAAAAACAAACTAATCGTAATTGCGTCATTTGTATAAACAGGTAAAGTGGAAAACAAACAATCATTGAGGAAGCCTATGCAAAAATTATAAATGTTAGGGTGTAGACGAGGAGAGGAAAATGTCAGTAAAAAGAGTTTTAAACATGGAATTTTCTAGTTTGACTAATTAGGTGCGAACCTTGCACTGAGCAACACCGAATTATGCCTCTTCGGTCATATTTTAGTGTCAGTTTTCGCGATACTGTACGTTTACCCTCAAATCAGATTTATTTATATAAATGTGACTCGTAGAATTTCTACATTCTTTATAAACAGACGGAATATACCTAACACTGGCACAATTTTGTATATACATATTTTCTTATTACTGATGGTAAAAAAGCTGTTTATATTTATGTGGTCCTATCATGGTTGGGCTGAATTAGATTTGTAAACTGATGCTGGGGTCATTTACATTACAATCCTTATTACTGCCTAAAGAACTCCGGCAGAATACGTAATGAAGCTGGGTACGTTAATATAGTACATTGGGTGGTTCACTTACTTATCCAAAAACCAGTTCGTTTGTTTTTTTTTGTTTTTTTTTTTAGCTGGCAGTTATTTAGCAACTTCACATGTTATCAGAAAGAGTCAACTTATTAATTTTATCACGAAAGGGCTATAAGACCAAGTACACAGATTTAATATAAAAAGTCTAGAACCTTTTAGGATTTCTTTGGATTATGCATTTCTTCTCAAAATTATAGTAATCATGCTGACCACTGGAATCGAAGGACATTTTTTTCCCATGCTTGGACAAAAAAAAAAATCATGCCTGTGTTCATAATTTGTTCTTTTTTTATGGCTTATTTTGGATTTTTTAGGAAATGGCCTTTCCACTGCTGCTGTGGGGTCCTGCAGCAGCAGCTCTTAAGCTAATTTGTTGTAATTGCTGGTGCCTCAGAGAAGTACTTTAATTATAGGCTTATATAAAATCAATTTTGATCGTCTGTTAGGCAGCCATCTGTCTTTGAAAGTCTTACTTTTTTCAAGATGCAGCACACATGGGTTTGAATGTATTTTGTGTGATATGTATGGGTTTCAGCAAAGCTGAGCAAAATGTAACTTGGAAAGCAGAATTCGGTTACTCACGTTAGTATTTTGAATGATGATTGTGCCGCCCTAAAGCACTGTGTTTGTGATAGAAGGGGCTGTGAGCTACAATTATATGTGGTTCAGGAAGTCCATTCTGTACAATCCCCATGGCAACTCCCTCATTTGCAGCAAATGGGTAGGAGAAGCAGAGACTTCACCAGCAGAGGACCCAAGGGTGCAGAAATTACACCTGGAGAGGATCAAAGGGCCGGCTGATGCAGCTCAGTCGCTCTCTCTCTGTCTGTCCGTCTGTCTGGCACTTTATAAACTTTATGGCTAAACTTATTTTTGGAAAAGTAATTGCTGTGGGCTGTTCTCCCTCAATTTCCACATCATTCAGCAAATTGCAATAGAAATGCTTTAGTTCGTGGTACGAAAACACTAATGTGTTTTGTTTTTTTTTTTTGGTAGTTGGGAGTGTTAATGAGAGATGCATTAAAGATTTGCTTGACACTTAGACCTTGATCTAGTTATTCGGCCATATTTTGCTGTCATCGTTTTCTTTGACATTTTTTTAAATGTAGGTTTTTTTCCCCCCAAAACTTTTTGTTGTTAACAGAAGTTATTAATGCAGCTGTATATAGCAGCACATTGTGTTTTGCCAGTCTGTATTCTGTCTGGTGATTAGTAATTATATGTTAATTTGACAAGCCATAAACCCTCTGTCAGAAAAGGGTATTTCATAATCAGTCACCTTGCTGGGGGCATATTATCTAAATATACTATTGCCAGTTCATGTTTACAGGAAAACTTCTAGGTTTATAATCAACCTTCAAATGTATTAAAAGTTTTATATAATTCTTTATTTTCTGAAGTCCAAAATGTCTCCCTCATAACGTTAGGTCTGTTAATGCAGGCACGCTCTTCTCTACAAAAATGTAAGAGACAATTTTCTCCATGTGCATATTTCAAAAAGTTCTTTTGTTAACCTATTTTAAATTGCATTACTAGGTTGAATTTGGGTGGAGATGTAGGAATTGATGGATTTGAATATGCATGGGCTGTTTGAATGTGATTATGGGAAAATATCTGTGATGAGTACTGCTGCTCTACTTTTTCCTGGCAGGAATGTATCCTGAAATATTTTCAGCTCAACTTGGAATTTCAGTGCTTTTTCTCCTCCATGAATCCAAATGGTTTTAACAGCCCAACTTTATCTTTACACTCCGATGAAATTGTTTCAGAATTTAAATGCTGGAATTTTCATTGTTTCTACAACTGAAATTAACTTGGGATTCCTCAAACACTGACAAAACAATGGAAAGGACTCTTAAAAAGAGATTAATTTGTTCTTTGCAAAACTGATAGGAGTTTGTTGTACCCAAAAGTGCTTTCAGTTTTCTGTTTTTGAGAGTAAAGTGAAGCACGTTCATACCATCAACTGCATTCACATATTTGAGAAACTGACAAAATACTACAATTTAGGTTAAGATTTATATGAATTGCTCAAAGGTTAAAAACTAAGAACAAAAAGCGCATGCCAACTCTTTGAGTGGTTTCTTGAATTGGTGGCTGTTTAGCTTGTTTTGTTCTTTTAACTTGCGTTGTTTCCTGGCTTGTATTTTAACTGTGCACATTTTATGACAACAATATTACATTACATAAGGACCATGGCAGCATATTTTTGTGTTACTTGGTATTTATCCTGCCAAATGAAAGCTTGTATTTTGTATTTAAGAAATTGTGTTATGGAAGTTGTTGAATGCATCTAGCAGAACTTAATTTTATGTAGATATCACTTCAAGATTAATCTTGTAAATAAGACAAATGCATTACACTCTGGCGTATACACCTGCCTGCCAGATGTCAAGCTTATTAAAACAACAGTCAATTCTCTTATCCACTTGTGTTCTTCTCTATTTTATGGCATCTTAATCTTTACAGAAGGGGATCAATCATAGTGCTGGTTCTGACAGGGCATTAGCTAATTGTTTTTATGATTATACTAATTACAGCTTCATTCGCATGCTGGGGTTGTTACGACTTGAAAGCCCGCATTCATTGCAGCCTTTCAGGGCTGGGAACCTGGTCCATTTCTCTGTAGACTAAATTTGCATAACAGACCCTTGATGAATGAATTTCATTTAAATATCAACTTATCTGTTGCACATCTAATAAGGAATATAGCTCCTGTCTTTAACTTTGCTTGGTCCTCTTCTTGGACTCCAGTCTTCCTGCATTTTAAAATAAGGCCGACATTCTGTTTTCTTCAGTTTGTAACTTGCATCACAAATACAGCTATGTTACAGATCTTGATTCTTCTGTATTTTACTCTAAACATTTGTTCTTAAATTATTGCATGTACTGTCATTTAATAACAATCATTATGACCATTATCCATTTGACTAACAGTAAGTAAACATTTTTGCTGCTATTGTCCTTTGAAGAACAGAGGGGCCGAGTCTCCCTGCCAGCCAAACCAGGAAGCACGAGATTGGTTCAGCCTACTTTAGCTTCTCCTAAGCCCCTGCATAAAGAGCCGGCTAGGGTACCACTGGGAGTAGTGCTGGTCTCCAAAGCAGCCTGTCTACAGAGAAAAACATTCCTCTCTTTCTCTGTTGGGGGACAAGGGGTACACAGCTTGGCCAAAGGTCTTTGCTGCTCTGCTCGTTCGGCCATTTTGGTGTTTAATGAGCCAGTCAGTTTATAACCCACACTTTCTTTTGTTCAATTGATTAATGCAAGTATATGCAATTTGTTGTGACTGCATTTTGAATGAGATTGCTTAAAGGTCTTGTGTAGATTCAATTAATGATTTAAAGTGTGTATTTGTATTTTGACATCATTTAATAATAATTCTTTACTGCCATAATGACAAATCAGTAGAATGACAATTGATAAAACCCAATGAGCTGCTATATATAGTTATGTAAATTTTAAAAACACAAGCTGGACTGTCTTGTTTGGCAGGATAGAACTAGCACCTAAAATTGTAAGCGTTTGTATGTGGGAGACACTTTGCCCCACCACACTGCTGGCTTTTACTTCAGTTTCTGTTTGCTACATTTTTTTTCTTTTCTAACCGTCACATAAATGTTATAACTTGTACTTGAGACTGCAGGTACGTAGGCATTAGGTGACACTTTACATTAACTGCACCTTCATAATACATTCTTTATGCTTTCATAGAACATTCAGTGCACCTTCATAATGCATTCATAGAACATTATAAGCAGCATGGAAGTATACCTTGACATCCTAACACCATAGCAGCTTTAATATACATTAATAAAACATCATATGATTATGCGATTATGATGTTTGTTGTTATTATATGATGTTTATTAATGTATTCAGCACCTGTTAAAGCATGCAAGGGTGTTAAGGTATACATGCTGCTTATGAATGTTCTGTAAATGCATTATGAATACATTATGAAGGTGCAGTTATATCATATATTATATCATTATTAAATGTATAGTATATTATGTGTACAGTAACAAATTTCTATCTGGTGCACACATACACACAGCCACAGTCCTTGGTTGTGTTGGTAGGTGACATGGCTGCAGGGGTGTTGGCAGTGCTGGGCATTGCAGTGTGGCAGAGTCCCAGTGGCTCGCAGCTGGTTTCAGAGGATGGATCGATGAATGAATGGTCGTTAATAACCAGCCGGCTGCAGGCCCTTTCAGGCCCTCTGCCTGCTGCAAGGAGAGATGCGGGAGCGAAGGGGAGCAGCTGCTGCTGCGCTTTCTCCCTGACGAAGCCCACCAGTCCACTGGGGCTCTGTGGCTCCGTGCAGGGCATTTGCAGAAATGCCCTGCACCCGAGCCTGTTATCTTGCAGACATAGATGGTAAGAAATCATGCATCTTAGGGTTTAGGGTTTTTAGCTACAGATATTCCTAAAGTTGTGTGTGTTTCACAATTAATAAATGCATTTTGTAGCAAATTACGCAGTGATAGGATAAAAATAAACACCTTTCTTGCTGAAATAACAATAAGCAAATGAAGATAACAAGCAAACACTACAACAATAGGAAAATAACTGTGAATAACTACAGTCTTCTTGCAATCTGTTACAGCTACAAGTACTTGATACTTCTCATGCGTACAGCCAGTGAGCCTCAGAATCTGAACTTCCTGCAGAAAGGCCTCACAATGCTGCCAGCCATTGGTAGACAGAGGGTCGTGACTCTGGGTGTAGCGATCTAGGGCATCCTACTGGTGCTTTATGGGGTTATGGTTCGGAGAGACGACCGGCCAAGGCAGCATCTGCACACCAGCTGACATCGCTGTTATGTAACCTCATCTAGCCTGCCCGAGGTGAAGTGAAGCTGCATGCAGTCTGCATGGAGAATGCAGACCACACCTTTTGCACTGCTTCCACCCCAGGGACACAGGCATCAGTATATCTCTCTCTCTTCTCCTCTACACTGTGTCTCACATCTTTTTGGATCAGGATAAGGCGTGACTCATCCGTGAAGGGGACCTGATGGAACAAGTCCATACCAGGCTCTGTCTGAGCCAGGTTAGGGATGTGTGAAGTAAAGGCTTTTGACTGGTCACTGTGTTATAAGGGCAGAAGCATGCAGTCTGTGCCTGAGTTTCCTGTCACTGATTTGGGCATTGGGTTGGCTGGTAGTTTCAGGAGCAGTACGGGTGGCCGATATGAAGCGACTTATCAGATGGACGAGTGTGATATGTCAGTCATCCGGGGGAAGCCAGATATCGGGCGGTCACCTTCCTGCTAGTCTGCTGAAACCTTGCCTGCATGGTGATGGGAGCAGCTAAAGCCATAGAAGCTGTGCAAAGTGGACATAGGATACCTGACCAGGGCAGGCCAGTGACCTTTGCACCTGTTAATGTTCGAGGCACACAGAAAACCATGCGTGACCTTTGTCTTGCTGGGACCTGAACTTTTGATTTAAGGCCTGTATGAAAGTGACTTGATCAGACATTGTTTCACCTGGACCTTGCTGGGTAAAAGTGCAGTTAACAAGCTTCTGTGTGTATCTGCCGGTTCGTAATGCCTCACTGCACAAGCACCCAACACCTTTTTGTGAAACTACACAAGCTATAATTATAGTTGTCTCTTTTCAGAAAATGTTGCATGTTTTATCATTGTATAAACTTGATTCCAAATGGAAACTGGAAAAGAATAGCAAAAATGTGAATAGTTATATATTTAAAAATTATGCATCTTCTAATTCTGTGTGTGTGTGTGTGTGTGTGTGTGTGTGTGTGCCTGTGCTTGTGCCTGTCTGTCTATACATTTTTAAATCTGATTAAAATCACATGCATTTCTGGTTAAGCTATGATTGAATAGCACAAAACTATAAACTGAGCAATAAAATTATAACTATAATCTGGAATTTGATGTGGGATTTGTTTTTGTTTTGTTGCCTAGTCCAATCTGTGGATGTTGGTCGACTTCAGTGCTAAAAGAATTCTATACTTGTTTAAAACTAATGACAATAGTATAAATATAGTTGTTGTCAGTGTATGTGAACATTTTTTCATAGTCTTGCCTTGTAGAATAATATACCGTAACCACTATTTAATTCACACTAGTACTGCAGAGGAGCTTATCTGTCAGTCTGGCAACTGCATCTTTTTAGATAAGCATTTTACTATATTACTATACTATGTTGATTGTATATTGCTAAAACATCTGACCTGCTTGGCTCTTAATCTCTTATCAGAATGATTCATATGTTTAAGTATTTATAGAAGAGGGAATGAGCAAAGGAGAGGGATTACAAGAGGTGTCCCTTCTGACACAGAGTCCACTGGGATACTGGGGCTCCATGATTTATTGTTAAAGGCTGTTGTACCTGAACCTGGCCTCCTGTGTCTGAAGAGTCTCGAATCTGGCAGTTGTGTGATTTTTTTTACAATCTATCCTTCATGGTTTTTACAGTTTTAGATAAATATTCCTAAAATGTATTCATTTGTTTAAATATTTTTCTCTTGATCCATTTTGGAAATAATTTTTTCAGCAGAGATGATGCACGTGTCTTTGGCGGAAGCTCTGGAGGTCCGGGGAGGGCCTCTGCAGGAGGACGAGGTCTGGGCTGTCCTGAGCCAGAGTGCCGAAAGTCTTCATGAGCTGCTCCGCAGAGGTAATAGTCTTCAGCATGTCAAAGCATTAGCATTTGACTTTTGAAAGTAACTTGTATAAGCTGGGATACTATGTGCATTTATTTCCTTCAACGTCTGTAAATGCTTGTTAAGAATTGCTCCCAATCTCTTATGTCTTCCCAGTAGATGTCTTCAAACTCATAAACGCTTTCTTACTCATAATCGTTTCTCTTAAAATTTTGCACCGTTTCCGGGCAAGTGCTTTCTTGTCATGTCCATGTACCTTCACTGTCTTGATCAGTGTTTCCCAATCCGATCCTTGGGTACCCACAGACAGTCCACATTTTTGCTCCCTCGCAGGTAAACATGGATTGTCTGGGGTCCCTGAGGACTAGATTGGGAAATGCTGGTCTTGATTTTATGTAGTTCAGCTTCTTGTTCCCATGTTTATACAAGTATTTTCTTCTTCCTGTCACAACATGCGAGACCTCTGGTTATGATGCTGGCTAATTAATAACTTAAGTGAATAGTCATGCTGCAGAAAGTTCTACAGGTGACTGAGGATGCTGTTTATATGGCTGAGAACTTTGTTGATGGATTTTCACAGAATGATTTACATAATAGTGAAGTACTCTTAATGTAGCAATGAATGAATAGCAGTGGGGAAAAAAGCTAATTCTTTGAAGTAATTGTAGAAGCCTATAATAGAACTACCACTTGTTTGAGAAATTGTCTATACGGTATTTTGTGCTGCAGTTTGTGAGCAGAGTATTTCCTTTGTGTTTGCATTCATATTTACATATAGACATTGCATATTCTCTCAACCTCAGTTTTCATTGAGGTCCCAGGATGTATGCCTGGCCACCTCTACTGGAGACATATCTTGAGAATGCTCATTTTATTTATTTAAAAAGGGTGCACTAGTTAACATATAAATGAATCATGGTGATCTTACTCCTATAAATTGAAAGCCCAGATCTTCACTAGGATAGGGATTCTTTTGTTCTAATCAATATGATTTTAGTTCAAACACATTCTTCTGAGGTACTACTTTGTTGATATGTCTAGTCATGATTGTTTCGTTTTGTATTAGTAAAATAAATAACTTTTTATGACTAATAAAGGAATTAGCACGTTTTCACCTAACATAAAAACAGGGCATTGTAGAACAGTCATTTTAAAATGAGTTCAGTTGTAAAATGTCTGCAGCTTTAATAGCACTCGTTACCAATATATTTTATAATTTAATGTGGAATTATAGTCCGGGTTCACTGTACACATCAACAGTTCAATATGATGGGTGTCAATTGGCATTTTGATTTACCCTCAAGTTCATAGCACATTTGGTAGTCATTGAGGTTGGTTGTGCCATGGAGGAACTCTCTGTACTAAGAGTACATTCTGCTTGAGTATTATGTAATTAGGTTGTATAAATGTATTTTATGGAAATTCTTTTATTTTTAATATAAAAAATACTGCCAAATACCTATACTGCAAGCAAAGCAAGAAATTATAAGACTAGTGTTGACCTTAGTGAAAAGAGTTTATGTCCGGGAGCACAGTGTCTGTGTTGTTGCAGCGATAAGGATATGGGAGTCGTGGTACCATTGGCAGACAAAAGCTGTATTATAATCCAGTGTCTGCTTTCATGGTGGATGTTCAAAGGCCTGCTTTTTCAGTTTGAGCTGGTGCCAACCTCCTTGACCACAGGCAAGAAGAATTTGACATCTTTATTACAGTGGACTGTGCTCTTTCGTGAAAAATATTTATTTCCTTAAGTTCATGGTGGAAAACTTGCTTCCAGTGTCCTGGATTGAAAATTGTGACATGTTAATATTCAACATTTAAACCAAGATTATATTCTATCATTGTCAAATTCCAACGTTGTCAAGTTAGTAATTAACCATTGCTATGCAGTATAAATCTCCATTCTAGCTTCTCTGTGAAAATGTACGTCTTTTTGCTAAGCCATACATAAGTGTACCATTTTTGAGGGAGGATTTCAGAGAAAAAGGATTTCAGTGTCATATACAGACATCCTGTGATCTTCAACCTGGACTTGTAATGTGCAATAACCTGGTAGATTCATGCATTGGGTTTTCGCTTCTTAGAATGCACAACTCATCTAACCTTTTAAGTAGTTCTGGAGTCCTGCCCAGTGCTAGCTCAGTGTACCTAATAAAGTGGCCCTTGAGTGTATATTGTCATCTTTATTTGCATCCATTTGGGTGATGTTTAAGCTAGAATCTAGATGCATCTTCATACGTATTCAGTGTTAAACTGATACTGAAGCTGGCTGCTTTGCTGCCTTTCTGTCTCATTTTGCATGTCAGACAGCATTAATGTCTGTATAGTCAGTCTCTCTCTCTCTCTCTCTCTCTCTCTCTCTCTCTCTCTCTCGCTCTCGCTCTCCCTTCCAGATACCCCAGCTCTCAGTTTCACCATCTCCCCATGGTCCCTGCTGCTGATGCCTTCGGGAAACATCTCCTTCACAGATGAGAATGTGACTCAGCAGGATCTGAGAGCCTTCACTGCCCCAGAGGTCCTCGAGGGCCTCACCCTGACTTCTCTCTCTGATATTGAAAAGGTTACGCAGTGTTCAGTGTTTTTTATGGCACAGGCCTCTCATTGGTAGTTACCAGCTGTCTGTGCTATTTGGTGCCAGTGTTATATAAAAAATAATAGTTAATATTCCGATTTTGAAAATGCTTAAGCATTCGTTTGCGAATAGATAAGAAAAATTAGCGTGTAGCCCGGGAGCCAAGACCCGATTGTTGTATTTTCAGTGCAAAGGTGGTAAAATGCAGTCGTCTTCTCTACACTGTGTCACGCCTTCAGAATCGCCACTGAATGTTGTATTTGAATGAAACTTGTCAGTTTAACTCCCTTTAACGGCCTCCAATTGTCAGTGTCACATGATTAGCAGGAGCAAATTTTGGTCTGCATGACGTAATCTTCTCTCTGATCGCTGCCAATGTCATTCTCTGCAGATGCACATGTACTCCCTGGGAATGACCCTTTTCTGGGGGGCAGATTATGAGATTCCTCAAAGTCAGGTAAAAGTTCTCAGTATCTTACAACTGAGGCTTGTGGGAAGTTTTTTTTTCCCCTTCTAAGGTCACTTTTAATAGTCTTGTGATACAAATGTTAAACTTGAATTTGAATTCACTGTTTTAGCTAGTGTTGTGCCACTGTTTGTCAATCAGTTATTTCACAAGTACATCAAATTAAAAATTATATTAAAAGTATTGTTTGTGTAGGTACTGCATGTTATGTATATACATATGGATGGATGGATATAAATGCATATATATGGTTTTTGTGTGTGTGTATTTGTGTGTACATAAAATTGCACCTTACATACAATCTTTTTTTGGTTGCTGTCTTACCTTTTCTGAGATGAATGGGGAAGCTTTAACTCCCTGTTCCATAACCTAATGCTTCCTTGAATAAGGTTTGTGTTGATACATGCTCTGCGTTTTGCATGTCCAGCCCATTAAGCTGGGGGAGCACCTGAACAGCATGCTGTGCAGCATGTGTGACGCCGGGACCCACGGCCGCATGTCGGTGCGCACCGTGCTGGACGCCTGCAGCGCGCACATCCGCAGCTCCAACTGTGAGCCATCCTTCGCCTACGTCAGGAAGCTCGTCAGGCTGGTGCTGGGCAGCCTCTCCCAGGTGGTCCTGTCTCTCACACAGCGCGGCCCTCAAACAATAGAAACACACTTGCAGATTGACAATTGTGCTAAAATAAAACTAAGAGCGTTATTTTACATCCAAAACACAAGTTGTGTGTGTAGTTAAGGTTTCGTTTTTTTTCCCGGGGTCATGTGTGTGTAGAGTTAAATTGGAAATGTTCTATACCATTTTTATAAATTCAACTAATCTGTTTTATTGCTTTTGAGATTAAGATGTCAGCTTTTCTATGTTGAATTGTACAGTGCTTCAGAAGTCATCTGGAAAACATATTCTGGTCTGTGGTTATAATAGGTTCTTGGGTGAAATGAGGCAACAACAGCTGAAAGGTTAGGGTTAGGTTGGTTACAACCAAAAACCATCAGCCTGTGAAATCAGTTATTTCCAGAGGTGGAGATTTCAGGTCCAGAGAGTGCAAATCCAGACCAAGGTTTTGTTTCAACCAACCAGTTGAGTATAAAGAGTCACAGTCACAGAGTAACTCAACTGCTTTGTAGAAACAAAATCTTGGTCTGGATTTGTACTCTCTGGACCTGAAATCTCCACCTCTGGTCAGTTGCCCTCCCACCAGCTGCTTGCTGTCACAGACAGTATGTTAAACATAACAGCCATGATGATGATGGTGATGATATCACCTCAAGGTGAGAGAGGAACGTTTTCTCCAGATCTGTTAACCCAGACATCTTTATTTTCTCTTGTGTCGTTTTAGTTGGATGGGCTGCTGTCAAAAAGTGAACGGGAGTCGCTTCCAGAGCGGAGCAAGGAGATCAGGGAGCGGCTGCGGGGTAAAGGCCTGCCCACAGGTAATGCAGAACCCATGCTCCTCCCGAGACTAGCATGCGCTGTAGCAGCGTTTCCCTACCCAGTCCTTGGGGAGCCACACAGTCCATGTTTTTGCTCCCTCCCAGCTCCATGTCAGGCAGTCTGCGTGGACGGTCTGTGGTACCCCGAGGACTGGTTTGGGAAACACTGCGCTATAGAGATGCTACAGATAATCTGTGGGCTAGGTGATTTGCCTAATTGATGTCAGGGTCAACAGTGATGTGAACTTTTTTCCAGCTTTAAGCTTGTCAACTGCTGTGTCCAGCATATCTGAACATCTACTGAAATCTATTAACCATGAATCATCTTTTTTTTTTTCAATAGATATTTAAATTCATATAATTGAATGAATCATGTGTAATTGGCATAGTCCTTACGGTAATGAATGGAAGTCCTAAACAGTGTTGCAGTAATATAGAAGCAGTCGGTCAAGGTGGGTTTCAATAACACCTCTCCTAAATTATTTTATGGTTTTACTCTCTTGGATTTTTTTTTTTCGTACACCCTCTGTTAACCTAACGAATCCAGATTCATGCTAAGTTTTGACAGACCCCAAGCTTAGCCTTCTCTGCAGTGATCATAAATCTTCTGGTGCTTCCCGATTTACTCGTAGGTGGCACATAAGCGCTTGCGTCTTTGTCATGACATTTTTTGTTCTTTTTTGTTGTTTGTTTGTTTGTTTCTCTTGTGCTTTATATAACAGCAGTGACTGTGTTGAGCACAGAAAATTACATTCTGAATAAGAGGTCCATTAAACAGACTTATTTTTAGGAGAATGGAAAAAGACCATTGCATTTCCATTCAGTCTAGATGTATTGTTCTACTACTCAAGATTCAGATGATTCTCTTGTTCTAGTAATAAAAGTTTTTTTTTTTCTGTTTGCGGTTATAAACAGCCTGAAAATAAACCTTTCAACCAGGGTTCCTGAAATTTCAGTCCTGCAGGGCCAGTCTGCAACACAGTTTGCAGATTTCCCTGCTCAGCCAATCACCAGGTTTAGTATCTGTGTTTTGAGCAGGGAAACCTGCAAACTGTGTTGCAGACCTGCCCTCCAGATTTATGTATCGCCTAACTGCTTCTCTTGGATGTGGTCGCAGGGGGGACTGGAGCTTATCTCGGGCAGTATGGGGT